GGGAAGCTACGAACCCCTTGATGAAATTTTTGATATTACTAAAGTGGATGGAACATGGTTATCTTCCGAGAACATGCAATTGTACCATCTCCAAGTGGAAAGCAAAGGAACAGTGGGATACCTTACAGGCCAAGCGGCCAGTAAAGAAACGATCCATCCCTCTAAAACATAAAAATTTTCTAATGAGTCATCTAACTTATCTTTTTACTATCCTGGTTTTAGTAATTCTGATTGAGGCTGACGACGGTGAATATGAAAACAATGAAGAAGAAGATGAGACAACTCCTACACCAAGCAGAAAACATCATAAAAGTAAAATTGTAGTCAACTTAGTGACCTCCACAAGAGTATCAACAAACAAAGCTGCTAACATATGCAAGTAACTGGGTCGTGAAGGCATTGGCATGCCAACTCTATGTCAATCAGCTATTTACAAGTTAACAATCAAAAAGGCAACCAAGCTGAAGGAAGAAATGATTGAAAAGTTGCATATGGAAAGTTGGTCCTTACACTTTGATGGCAAGCAAATTGACAGAATTGATTATCAAGTGGTTGTCCTTAAAAATGAAAGAGGAGAAATCAAATTGGATGTACCTGGCTTGGTAGATGGCAGGGCTTTAACTATTGCTCAAGGAATTTCTAAAGTTCTCGATGAACTTTACCTATGGAATTCAAAACAGATGATTGTTACTGATACCACCAGCGTTAACACTGGAAAAAAGAATGGTGTTGTAATATTGCAACAAATGTTCACAGAGAAATGCATCAACAAACCTCAGTTTATCAGTTGTCAACACCATGTATTAGATAGAATCCTCCGTTTGGTGATGGATGAAAAACAACGAAGTAAAACACAATCGCAAAACATCGAATATCCGTTTGTACTTCAATTGTTGAAGGAGTACAAACAAATGAAAATACAGTTTGATAACGGAACAGAAGTAATTCTCGAAACATCAGGCTGGAGAGATGATATGAAGTTTTTGTTTCATCTCACTCGAGTGTTTCAATTTGTTGAGGAAAGGGGACATTTTCCATTGATCCAGGTTTCAGAAAATACCCAACATCAGCAGAGGTCGAACTCCAGAGCTATATTAGCGATCCTGGCCTTCATTTTAATTCCTTCAACAAGGACAGTTCTGCACAGAGTATGTTGATTTATATCGTATGGCTGGGCAGACCATTGGTTTACAGACCAACTGTACAACGAAAACAACTTTAATAACTTGGCCGAAATACTGAATCGATTCAAAAAGGCTTTAAGTTCTTTGAAAAATCACTGGAAGCAAGAGCCATATATATTTAAGATACCCAGAAGTAATCAATTCGCAGAGCGTGCAATCAAAGTAATGGAGGAAATTTATTTATCATGCAAAAATAAAGAAATTGCACCTTCGATTCCTTCTGTGCAATAAGCAAGAGCAAGGTTAACGGTCTGAGTCATTGTTGGATTGAAAATTTATATTTTATGTATTGCATGACTATGGTATTCTAAATACATTTGAATACATAATAGTACTTATGTCAAAATTAATTTTTCAATAGCGAGGTGAACCTTTTTTTAAAAATAATTCCAGACAATATCAATACTCAACGTCCTAGCGGAATCTACAATTATTTTGTTTATTGTGCATCCGATAATCTTAACTTGGTAATTAATGACGATATTAAAGCAACCACAAACAAATCGCGGACTATTGTTGAAGTCTCCAATTTCTTTGGACGTAGTCTCAACCGTTGGACCGAGATAGCTCTTAGGAGGTTGGGTTGAAAAATTGATACTGAAAGAGTTGAGTGCCATATGGTGGTCATTAAGAACAGATGCTGATATTCCCAAAGTCCTGGTTTGCATTGGTATGAATTGCTTGAGCTTGTGCACCATATCCTTCAAAATCTATAAAATAGCTGGTGACCCGACAAGCCGCTACCTGTTGTTTAAAAAATAAACATAATGTAGTATTACGAGAACGAGATGCTATTGAAATTCTTGGTGAATCTTGTGTAAAATCTGACACAACTCCTCCAATATTTAGTGAACTTTCAAAATCGGCCATAACTATACAAAATATTGTCAACAGTTATATTGAAACTATACTAAAGAACATATCTTTGTGGAAAGAGTTTTTATATTACTTTCGTTGGTTGTGATTGGTTCCTTAAGGAACAGACGCTATACATACGTGGATCTTCCACTCAGAGTCAAAGTTTGCAGTTTAAAACTTCTTTGGATTAAAATAAGTTTATTTGCAGAAAAATTTGTCGCAGTAGGGAAAGTTGGGACACAGTGGATTGGATTTCTTTTTTTCAAATTGAGCAAAAGTAATTAAAATTGAAGGTAATTGCAGTAATTAAAATTGAAAAAATCTTTTTTTCATAAATTCATTTTTAGATCAATTAATTCAAGTAGATTCCAAATTTTTTCTTGGATTGCAAAAAAAACTTCTACATCTAATCTTTGTTTAAAATGATTCAGTATCATTCTTTATCCATAGCAACGCTTTGATTTTTCTGTTGCTGCAGATTTTTGCAATGAAATTATACCACAAAATGCAATAAAAACACTTTTATACTGACTCTATAAAACAAAGTATTTGTTATTCACCTATTGGTTTTTGTTTATTGACTTGAATAATACGCGTTCAATGCGCACAAGACAGCTATTAGTATTACTTTATGTTCTTGTACCTATCTATACCTTAGTTTTTTTTTAATATCATGTTTAAATAAAAAAGCTGTGGATGGATCAAAAAGAAAAATATCTTTAAAAAGCTTTACCAAATGAAAAATCAAATTTTTATGAGAACAGTGATATAAAGGTTTACATTTTTAAACAAACCACTGCTATACTTTCAGACTGAAGTTCAATTGAAAATATTTCAAGCTCATCCTCCTTCAATAAGTTATCAAACAAAGAAGTTGTACAGAACTTTTTAAATATAAATGAAGATTTTATCTTTATTATGAGATTTATTTTACCTTAAAATATAGTTATGCTTCTTAAATGTCTAGAATGTGAAGACTTTGTAAACTTAAAATTTATTCTTCTTTTTTTATCTAAAAAAGTAAGCCTAGGTATTGGACTATAAACTTTTTGCAATGGTTTTTAAAGAGAAACTTTTTATTTATTTATCTCCTACTATTGCTAAAAAGAACTCTAATGCAAAACAAAATGATCTAGTTAAACATGTGTTTGACCACTTGACATAAACCCTAATGTTGTAGCATTTTGTAAATTGGGTAGAAGATCTCCATCAGTTTTGTATGCGCGCCAAAGGTTCATCGTACAAATTCCAATCAAACCAATAAAGCTAGAAAAATGAAATATGTTTGATTTTTTTTATTCTAGCTTGGTGTGTACACTTGGTGTGTACACTATCAAACCAATGCTTATAGTCATATCGTGAAAACTTTCCTGAAAAATGTTTACACGAAAAAAAACAGAATTCGAATGAATCGCTAAATCAAGTTATACGAGATGTTTAAACTGCATACATGTTGAAAGAGCTACTTCAAGTATTGAAGTAGGATAAGCTGTTCTAAATTATATGATGGACAACAATTTCTAAATAGCTTTTTTAATGAATTTTGAATGACATTTAGTAATAATAGGCAAAATTGTAGTTTATGTAAAGTACACCAAACAAGTCTCGAAAGCAGAAAAACAATGTAACCATATAACAAAATCAAGAAAAAAAATGTTGTTAAAAATACATAATAGTTTTTGTGGTCAAAATTAGTGTATTGTAAAAAAGTGAAGATTTTTGAACTTTATTTGTTTCCTTTTTTTTTTTTACATGCATTTTTCTCAAAGTCATGTTTTTTGGGCTGGTGACGGAGATATTCTCAAAACTAATTATCAAATTGATTTGAAATTTGGCCCACTTATTGTATTAGTATTTACAACATAAACTACAATAATCTTTACTACTTCTCTCGCTTAGTATTTTTTTTTAATTTTGTGACCTTAAATTACCCCATTTTTTCCCTAATTTACAAAAATGCTAATACTTTATTGAGTTTTGCACCTAACTTAAATCTTTTTTTTTGCAAAAATTCACATAACATGTCCCCTTTTTCAAGTTAGTGATTCATATGTCCTTCATAATAAGAAATTACGGAAACCAAAATATTTATTATCTAACGACTCACAGAAAGTTTAAAGTGAGTTGTGTTACATGATTCAATGTGCTCCAGTACTGGGGCACGGTGAATAAATGAACACAGCCGTGAATTAATGATAATGAATAGGGACATAGCCAAATAACTTTTAGGGTGAAGGAGTAAAGACACTGTACACTATACTTTTCGATTACTTTTATTAATTAGATTAGTATAAAATCGAAATAATAGACATTTCGAAAATTAAGAATAAAAAAAAAAGAATTTTATTAATAACAAAACTTAAAAAAATAATAAAAAATTAAAAACTTATTCAAATATTATTATTTATAACGTTCATTTTCATGTAGTCTGTTAAAAATGTATGAATTTAATCTTTAAGATCATTTCAACCATAATCTCCATAACAAACATAAGGAAGGTAAGAAAATTTACTTTAGTTAGCTTGAAACAAGAATTACCTACCGAAAACTGGTAGTCAAAATTTTTGTGGTAACAACTATGAATAATGATTGCTGATATATTCTAATCTTTGAGGAAATGTCTATTATTCACGGTGCTCCTCGTTCCACTGTATCCTAACTTCCCCAATTAAGTGAAAAATTGAATCAGTATGCTTTATCCTTAGAAAAAAAATATTGTTTGTCTAACAAATGATAAATTTGATAAATAAACGAGTTGAGTTAATGTTCTCATAGTAATATATAAACAGTTTAAGATACTCAGCACTTTTGCCGATTAAATTTGCTGTTGAGACGTTTTGTCGCAAGGATGCTTAAGAACGGAATTGTGCGATTTAATTTCTCATCTGCATAAAGCTCGAAAAGATGAACTTTTAAAATACTTTTCCATTTTTTTTGGTACAAGTATAAAAAAAATTATTAACAAAATAAAAAAGTTGAATTTGAAAAAAAAAAGATCGCATTGTGGTAAATAAACTAAGAGTTTGTATATTGTAACTATTTAAGCTGACGCTAAAGCATTAAGTTGATTTTCTAGCTCTTCTTCATCAGCACCTGCAAATCCTTTACCAAATTCTTTTCCATCCTTAAAAAACTTAAAAGTTGGCATTGCTCTGATTTCATTGGCACTGGCTGTTTCTTCATTTTCATCAACGTCCACTTTGATAAATTTTATTGATTTGAATTTATCGGCAAAATCCTAAAGAGTTGTATATGTTTAAAAATTTATTCTAAAGAATATTATAATAGTAAAACACTAAAGGTTCTTGAAATCATAATTTAATATTATTTAATAAGTATTATTTTATTATAAGTAATTATTATTTAATAAGATATATATATATATATATATATATATATATATATATATATATATATATATATATATATATTTTTTAATTTATATATACCCTATATAGTACAGTATATAGCCTATGATTTTATATAGACTTTAATATAGAACTTCGTTATTTTTAAAAATGCAAAAAGGTAGACAAATCCTAAAACCAAAATTATATTAATTAAAATAAGTTAAAATTTATAAGAAAATTTATTCACTGCATTAAAATCTGTGAATCGTTAATAAGTGTTACCTCAAACTTAGGACCAATATATTGACATGGTCCGCACCAAGATGCGGTAAAATCAACAGCAACTCGTTGGTTATCTTTGATAATAGCATCAAACATCGATTTATTTTCCACTTTTAAAACCATTTTGTTTAATGCGCTACTAAATTTTACAACAACCTAAGTAGAATAGTTAATAAACTTTTATTTGCAACTCAAAAAATAAATTTATAGTTTTTTATACACTTTTACTATGATTAAACTCCGATAACATTTTCATTCTTTTTAATCAGCTATGTGAGGTCACATATATAACCAATGATAAATAAAGCAAAACAGATTGTTAATAAAAGTCTCACAGCATTAATCAGCATTTTCTGCGTTCCAACATGACGTCGTGATTCGATTCAATAGTTATGTATTATATTCGATTCTATATTCTAATCGTTTACAAATGCTCAGTGCTAACGCGATTTGCTAAAAATGTCTATTTGTATTTAACTTTTTTTTACATTCTTGATCTTTATTTCAATGTACAAATATTTAACAAAAACAATGAATACGTTTTTTATTTTTTTTTTTATAATTATTCAGTGATAAAGAAAAAAAAAAATGCAATAAATCTGTAGTTTGATAAAAAGATGCTACACCAGGTCCCTCTATGCTGACGAAAAAAAATATACAGAAGCTAAAGACAAAGCAGCAATTGTCTCTTAAAGTTACATTGTTATGCTGTTTTTGAAAGCATTGATTGATGGAGCGTTCACTGCCACTTGGGAAAGCGTATTCCATGAGACAACAACTCTATTTGAAAAAAAGTTATGTCGTTCTTAACAATTTGGACGAAACTTGAGAGGGCTGACAAGTTCGAGTTGACGCGTGATTTTAAACTGTTCGATTAGGTTTGCTTTTTTACGGCGTTCATCAAGTGTTGTAAGACCGAGCTGTTGGAGTCAATTTTCATAGGACAGGTGTTTAATAAATGATATTGTTTTTGTTGCTTGATATTGGACTTGCTCAAGGATAGAAATGTTGGACTTTTAATGCGGCGACCAAGCTCGAACAACAAACTCGAGGTGGGGGCGAAAGTAAATAAGATATAATGTGCGCTATAAATAAAAACTGCGACTCCAAAATGTTTTTTTGAGTCGCCCAAACATTCTATTCGCAATTGATGCAGCTGACTCAATTTGTGGTCTTACGAGACCTTGGTGTGATGGTCTCCAAAGACCTTGGTGTGAAGGTCTTTGGAGACCATCACACCGAGGTCTTGTTCGACTAAAGTATTTTAGGGAGATATGTTTGAGTGTTTGTGAGAAAACTCTTTAACTATATCGTTATAATCTGTATTTTAGATGTTATATCTGCCTACGCACATGCTAAGCTATCAAGACTTTCTTCTTCAGAAAAAGATCTCAAGTTGGGTTTAATTCTTTTCAATGTTGAAAAAAACGTTCTGTAGAACAATTACTTAAGAGTGTACTTAAAAAAGTTCATAGTGCTATATCTACATATGGAAAAAATACTTATAAAATTATTTTGTTTTACAAACGTACACATATGCTGAATTGTTTTGAGAGCATCAGTACCTATGCTTTTTAATGGCCTCTAAAATGAATACATTTATTAAAAAAAGAGATTAGAAAAATTATTAGAAATGAATTTATTATTATTAATAAATATTATAGCAGTGTTATCAATAATACAACATCGTGTCTGTATTAGAAATAGAATCATTTATCACGCGGTGAAATAATATTAGATAAAACTAAATAATCTATGGTGACTGAATAATGCAAACAATGAAAAATGGTTATCACTTATCAATACGGCGTTATCTTTAAAGGTTAACCGCGTTATGGTTAAAGGTTAAACATAACGCACTTAAAAAGGTTTAAGTGATTAAGTTATTTGGTTTTCTTTCCATCATGATTATCAGAATTTATTCAACATCTTTACTAACGCTTCTCAAAACAATAGCCGTCCCCTTTCTTTCTTTAAAAGTTTGCCACCCGGTACAATTGTACCCATTGTACCTTTTTAAATGCGGTTCTGCCCATTTGAAATGTATTTTACAATTACACAAAATAACCGTTTTTGGTGGAATTACATTTTTTTAAAGTCTCTAAAGTTTTCTTTTTATAAAACCGTCATCTAGTGTTGTGCTTATATATTAGTTATCAGTTGTTATATTTAGACCTGAATTGATAAGTGGTTCCGGTAAAAGTTTAACAAAATCATGTTTCTAATTTTTTTTTAAAACCAAATATAATTTTAAATGCATTTAACCGATTGCGAAAATTTATTAACAGAAAGAACTTAGGGATCATCCATAAATTACGCAACGCTTTATTTCACCAATAAACAAAACAAAAAAAATTTATAGTTTTTCCTCGCAGAGCCTCAAGTGATATAAAAAATCAAAACAGCCCATTAAGTTTAAATAAATCGCCACGTAAAAGAGCTTAATGCTTTGATTTGAATTAATCTTGATTTGAAAATAAATTTAGCGTAGCGTAATTTACGGACGATCCTTTACAGCATAACTTAGAAGTTTTTGTTTAGAATTGTTTTTTTTTTTACTAAATGTAACTTATCTATACATTATTTAATTATATTATGTTATTTATAATTATCACATTATTTCCGAAAAATTATTAAATACAAAGAAAAAGTAAAAACTTCTCAAAGACTAATTAATGATTAAGAATGTAATTGCTTTAAAATTTTTTATTTCCATAGAAGATCATCACACTTATATCAGTGTTTGTAAATTCTGCGCTTTTACCAGTTGTTGCACCTGTTTCTATGCTAACTCGCATGTATGTAGACATAATTAATTATAACAATTCCCAACTTCCTGAGAAATAATTTTTTCTAAAAATTGGAATTTTTTGATGTTTAGACATTCTTCCTGATGAAAATACTGATGGTGGAACATGCTGTTAAAGAGCACAAAAATTAGATAAGTGTTTTTACTAAATTATTATTGCTCTGTTCTTTAAGAACATTGAGCACTGTATTTGTAGAATACACTAACATAATATATATATATATATATATATATATATATATATATATATATATATATATATATATATATATATATATATATATATATATATATATATATATATATATATATATATATATTAGTGATGTGCCGGGTACCCGGTTCGGACCCGGGGACCCAGCAATTCGGCTGTTTTACCGGGTACCTGGTATCGGCCATTTTGTTGCAGTACCCAGCACCGAGTATCTTCACATTGATCTTTCCTTTAGTTTAAACTTTAACCATTAAACTTCTTGATATAAGTCTAAGAGTGTTATGTAGTCGATAACCACAAAGTTCTATTAACTTAAAACAATCTCACTTAAAATATTTTTTAATACATTTCTGCAAAAAAATTTATACGGATACAAAAACTGTAACGCTAAATGAAATAATTCTAAAAAGAATGGGAAAAAAGTTTTAAAATAGCTTCTTTTTATTCTGTTAGAACACAAGATAGTTTTGCCAAGTTTTTATTCCAACTTTTAAAAAATGGACTCGGTGCCGAGTACCCGGACTCGGACCCGGTTTTTTCAGCCGGGTACCCGGAATCGGAGACTCGGCATAAACTGGTTCCGGCACATCTATATATATATATATATATATATATATATATATATATATATATATATATATATATATATATATATATATATATATATATATATATATCCGCTTCTGTGACAATTCCATATAATGTATCGTCACATGAGCAGGCCTAGGCCTTGCATAAACGCTCAATAAAAGTTTTTTGAGACGAAGGACTATATAAACTGTGATAAACATTGCAAGCAAAACGCTTTCAGAAAACGCCGATGTTAATTCGAAAAAAATTCAATCAATTTAAATTTGGTGAAGAATAAACATTCATCATATTCACAAAATGTTCTTAAAAACCTGTTTTGACTTGTTGTCGTTCTTTAATAACGACAACAATAAAAACCGAGGAGAATAAACACTGTTAAAGTACATTTTTAAATTTTGGGAATATTAACGTTTTAAGTCTCATTTTTTAAACTACAACACCAAATAAGAGTACGTTTTTTAATTTTTTAGACCCATGTCTTTTACAACTCTTAATCAGGATCGTTGTTTTATATTATTTCATCTTCATTCAATTTTTGCGTTACAAAATATTGTTCAGTTGTAACTTTTGCTCAACAACATTCTTATTGCAACCTTAGGCTGATCGGCAGTGATGTACTGATTAATCAGTATTAGTTTAATGGGCCACATTTTGCACAATTGTCATCGCCATCGACCGATTTTTCATTGGTTTGCCAATTTTCTAACCAATCGCTCTTTTGTAAACTTTTTATCCTACATTAAGGAAACAATTTATTATATAAACCTTTTCTTGAGAATTTTTTTGGTTACAAATCTACATCTTAATCTAAACATTTTAATAAAGTAGTTTTTTTGTTTTTGAGAAAAAAAGTATTACCTTTAATAATCACAAAAGTTGTAACATCTACTAAAATATAAAGCAAAATAAGTTTTAGTTGATTGAATAAATTATGACAGGTAGCTTGAGAAGCAACCATGGTAGTATATTTAGAAAAAAGAAAAATAGTTTTAACCTTACGACATCGATTGGGACAGAGGCTTGGTAGCTAGTTCAGATATGTCAAAAAGAAACCATCACTAAAATGTTTAATGATTGCTTTTTTGAATTGTTTTTGCCAAAAAGATGAAAGAAATGATTACGCTAAAAACAGTAGCTTCATAAGAAGATGAAAGAAATGATTACGCTTAAAAACTTCGTAAGAAGGAAATAATCATGGGGTAGAGGTTTGACTTGAAATTGATGTAAAAATTTTCATGTACCATATATTCATGTTTTTCAAGAACCCTAGTCAACTTAAAGGTAAAGTGCGATAAAGCGGTGTATACGATGTAAAAGAAATACAAAAAATGTACAATTTGAGAGTGAGATCTTAGCATGTGAGAAAATGTAAGCTGTGAGAGTGAGATTGTAGCATGATCTGAGCCGCATAAATTTGAACAAGGAGGAAGCGAGAAATATAAAGTCAAAGACAGGCTATTCTATATTTATGTGGTAAGTATATTTCCAGACCAAGCATGCTATCATTAGAGTCATTGCAATTTAATCAATATAGCCATCAAAACTACGATTTATAGATGAAATAGCAAGGTCTGAATTAGTTTCATTAAAAAAATGGTGAATTTTCAAAAGGTCAGATTCAACCATGGAAGTATTATAGATGAAAGTGCAACGCTTTTAGAATTCCTAAAACTATGCGTGAAATCTTTTGTTTATAATACAATAAAAGTCGTAAACAATTTCATTAAAGTCGGACGGCTCTTATGAAGTATGTAAAAAACAAACACGCTAACTCAAATTTTTTCGATAAATTCTCTAAAATCACTCAAATTTTTTTTGATAAAAAGAATTTGAGGTTCACCTTGCAGATGTTTATATTGTGTTTTGATATATAAAAAAATAAATATAATCATGAAAATAATAATAATTGTTTTGAGCATCAAGTTTATGCAATTTACAAAAAAATATCATTTGTATATAATTATTATTTGTATATAAAAATAATATTTGTATATAAAAATATTATTTGTATATAAAAAGTTCTAAAAAAAGGTTAAATTTTTATTTTAATTAAAGTTTAAAAAATATACTCTGATTATAAACCTAAATTAACAATAAGTATTTAAAATTGACCAAAATTATATAAAAAAACAAATTTAAGTGCCCCCATTTACCAAAAAATTTGTTTTTAACAAATTTTTTGGTAAATGGAGATGCACAATAACAATATAGAAAAAATTAAAAAAGCAAAACCGCAAAAATTCCATTTAAATTTCTATACTAAACTTGTTTAATAAAAGCAAACTTTTATGTATACAAATAAATTATGATATAAAATAGATAATTATAGCTCAAGGCATAATTATTCAATTTCGATAATGAACATTTTGGTGTGGTTTTTTCCTTGGCAGAATAGAGTAGTATCAACTTTTCAAACTTTCTCCATTCTTTCATGATTTCTGTTGATCACCAGCAATATTTAAACGTAAAAAATTCAAATATCAGAATTATTAAAGAAAACACTTTTAAATCTTTTTGATTTAAAAAAGTATGCACCCTTCCTTCTGCAGCTAAATTTAGAAGCAATTTTGACTGTAAATAAATTGAATACGTTCTTCTCTGAGTTTATGTCCAATTTAAAGACCAACATCATCATAAAACATGCTAAGATCTTATTCATATATATTTAATGTAACTACGTCATCGCATGATCTTTAATCTAAAAAAGGTTTTAATGACTTATAATTTTAAATTTCATAAAATCATATTCATTTAAGATAAAAAAAAATCATCAACATCATCATCATTATTATTGTAATCAAACTTACCACTAGATTTTGAGTGTTTCGGTTCCAATGAGAGTTTTCAAAATTATTTAGAAGTAAGTTAATTAAGTTGTAGTTTTGATTAAATAAGAGACTTCACAAAGATGTATATTTCGTGATTATACAAACTAAAAATATTTATAAAAATAATTTTTTCTTATACTTTTTTTCAATAATACAATAATTTAAAATATGTTAAATAACAAAAATAATTTTGCCCAAAATGTTATTATTAAACAACAAAATTTATGAAAATAAAAAAATCCTTTAAATAAAAAAAAATTAAAATATTAACCTAAGCATCAAATACTCTGTGAAAAAATCATACTCTGTGAAAAAATCAATAATATCACTGATTACGAACAAGAAGACCCTACCGAATCCAAAAATTGGAGTTACTATCAAAAAAAAATACACTTGAACAGTTTAAATTTGAATCTAAGCGTTTTTTATTATCTACAGACTTAAATTTTCTTTTTCTTTTTTAGTAAAATAATATAAACTAGCACAATTTATTTCTTTTATTTGGTTTAACTTTTACTTGCTCTAAATTTATTTTACAATACAAATTTGTATATAAACAGTTATATCAATTGTGAAACATAGTTTTACACATTTTTATATATTTTATCACAAGCATTTATCACGATTTTATATATTTTATTGTAAAAAACGACCTGTAATGAAGTCACAATGGGGCTCGGTGATAAGACAAGCTTCTTCTTGCTCCAGCCATTTATTTTATTATTTATGTTATTTTATAAATTGTAACTTTCTACGGCAAAAATTATAACAAAATAAAATAAAAAATAAAATAAAATAAAACGGGGGTCTCGGAATTTTATCGTCAAAGGAGCAAAGTCTTGCACTTCGCCTCAAAACACTCTTTCAACTAAAAGAATGTGGAGAGGAAAAAACTCACGATTATTACTATTTTTTAAAGTATTGGTTGGCAAGCTCACTTATAAAATTTACGAACCAAAACCAATGCTGGAACTTTTTAAAACAGAACAGTTTTCCAAAACACTGGGACAACAAAACGTCTCAGTACTACAAAACAACAATTTAAGTATTAGGCAAAACGGGTCCCTGTTTAACATTCCCCGAAAATCAACAAAAAATTTTTACTTAAAAGTGACAAAAAACAAAAAGACAGTCGTGCCAGCAGAGCTTTTCTGGAACGGTTCAACAAAAACAACAATGCCGTGGACCCAAATTTGGAAAAAAATATTTACCTCCCACGCATGCGAACCGTCACAAAATATCCTCTTTCGTTTTTTACACAACAGTCTACCTTCTGCGGCCTTGCTTGCCAAAAGCACAAGGCAACAGATCGTTAAAAGTAACAAATGCAAAACTTGTGGTAAAATTGAGGACAACATTCATATCTTTGCCTACTGAGTATTTTAAACATGTATATAACTCTTTGACATCCCAAAACAATTTTTCTCCAATAAATTTGATTATTTTTGTTTTTTTGAAACAGCGAGTTTATCGGAAAAAAGCCCTACTTTGCAGCTGTTGTTGACACTCACTCAAACCATAATGAGTGCAATATGGAACAGTAGATGTCACCACATGTTTAGTGACAAAAAAATTGACCCAATGGCAGTGATCAGGGTAATAATCAGGAATATCAGAAATATTATTACTTTAAAATATAATTATCATGTCCGTAGAAACACTGCGGACATTTTCTGTCAATATTTTTGTGTTAAGAATATTTTTTGCCAAGTAGAGAATAGAAATCTGAAACTAAACATACGAGCTAAAATAAAACATCAACTTATAGCATGATCTGCATGTTTAGTAAATTTAGCGTTACCGTCCTGTAATTTTTTGTTTGTTTTTATAAAAATCTTTTTTCTTCAGCTTTAAATTTCCTTTTACTACCTATGCAAAACCTTATCTAAAATCACGATTTCCTTCTGCACAACGGCCCTAATATAAAAAACAAAAAATGTGTCTATAAAAAACGAGTTGTAAAACTTATATTTAAAAAAAAAAACAATTATATATTATAAAAACACTTGTAAAACCTATATATTGTAAAAAATAGATAATTTAGTAACCAGAGATAGTGTAAATTTATAAAATTGTAAATACTTATTGTTTTGTAATTAATATATATATATATATATATATATATATATATCTACTATATAATATATATATATATATATATATATATATATATATATATATATATATATATATATATATATATATATATATATATATATATATATATATATATATATATATAAATTAGTAGAGAACCACTTAACAAAAAATTTTTTCATTTTACACTGTGTTTCATCAATAAAGACTCATCAGAAATTTCTGATGATTTCTGATGAGTCTTTATTGATGAAACACAGTGTAAATTTAAAAATTTTTTTGTTAAGTGATTCTCTACTAATTTATAATTGCTCTGTTCTTTTAAGAACATTGAGCACTCTATTTTGTAGAATACATTTTTTAAACTGTTTAAATATATATATATATATATATATATATATATATATATATATATATATATATATATATATATATATATATATATATATATATATATATATATATATATATATATATATATATATATATATATATATATATATATATATATATATATATATATATATATATATATATATTAGGGTGTTCCAAAAAAATGACTTTTTTGAATTTCAACTAACATTGCTTTTCATAAGGTGCCCCAACCTTGATATTACTAATAAATTTTTTTTTTTTTCATGATTAGATCACTCCATGACTTCCCTCAATGAGCCCAAAGGTCATTTTTTGCCCGTTTTTTGCCCATATTTCGGACTAGCTGAGGGGAGTGTTACTATTATCCAAATTAATTTTTCTTTCTTTTTTTTTTGTTGTTTTATATTTTTGAAGGAAATAAAAATATAATGTTAAGCTTAATTTTTTTTTTTTTTACTTAAACAATGAAGACCAAAAAATTAAAAAAAAGGCATTTTTAAGCTTTTTTGCACTATATTAGTGTTCTGCCTATTAACAAGATTTAACTTTACGTATTAAAATATTTATATTTACATAATAAAATCATATTTATGATTAGTTTCTGAAGAAATTAGTTGTCAAACATAGTTCATGTTTATAAATTTATTTTGTAAACAAAGAATTCTTTACATAATCACATTTTTTTTTAATTGTTCTTTCACTCTTATATTTGTTTGCTTTTTTTTGGAACTTTGCTTTTTTTTGGAAGAACGTTGGTTTTTTTACGTTTTTACTTTTGACATCAAAGCAACGTCAGCATTTTAACGTAAACACAACTTGATTTTACAAACTTGCGCATTTTTAAAATGGTTGAAAAACCGTTATCGAAAAAGATGTTATTTTTAATCTGGTTTTTAGGCATTATATTCTGTGAATCTAATAATTAATACATTATTTCTTTATATTCTACATTCGAATTAGATATTAAATTTATTTGATTTTCAAAAATGTTGACATTTTTGTTATGTTTTTGTATACTTTGTATATTTAACATTACTTATATAGTAAAAATTTCTAACACATAAAATATTTGCACATAATATTTTATTTACAAATAGATAATGCAATGATAGGTTTTTTAAATACCTGTTATTAAACTCTTTAACAGTTTAATAAAAACATATCCTACAGAAACAGCAACAGAACATCTAATAGGTACGCGGAAATCCGTGTTTTACTGAACCGAATTTTGTGCTGAAATTTTGTGCTAACTTTTTTTTAGGTAACGTCAGGCGAACGTTTTTTTGTGGCGTTTCTGTTTAGAAACATTACTAAACTTAGATTATTTTTGAAAAAAAGAATAGTTAAACTTAATTAATATATAACATTTATGTGTGGTTAGTAATTTTTGTATTGCTTTTATTTGTATTAAAAACTTGGTTGTTGTTCTCACATTAAATTATTGTCGAAGAAATGCTCAGATAGATTTGTTTGATACGAGGAAGGTACTTTGTCTTTTATCCTCATTATGCAATTTATTGATCAACTCCTATTAAAGAATATTTAAAAGTAATGAGCTTGTAAAATAAATTAAGATTTTAACATAAACATTAAGGACCAAACATATAAAATAGTTACCTGAACTAGTTTTATAGCCCTCTCCCTACAGTCATTTACTACTTCAAGATTATTCACAAATTGTTTGAATTCTAAGTAATAGTCATTTAGATCCCATGTCTCAGATGGAGTCTTAAGCCACTGTACTTCAGCATTTGCATGGTTTAAGATATGAAAAATTAACCAACTCTGGTCAGTTATAAGCGGGGTCAACCTTGGGGGAGTATCATCATTAAACATAAGGGAGTTCAGTATATTTAAATTAACTTGATGTCTTTCTATGGCATAAGTTGTAGGTCTTGGGGTTGAGTACAACTTCTTGGCAATGTCACTCCGTTCTTGTACATTTTTGTCAACAAGAGACATAACTAAAATATTTGGGTCTATGTACCAGGTGTGTCTCTTTAGAGACTCTATAACAGGTTTTGCCTGGACAGGATTGATTTTTGAGTATCTCATCATCTGCCAAAGAGCTTTCATATCCTAAAGATTTTTAGACTATGAAATATTAAACAAAATTTTCAAAGAAAAAAAAGTAATAAAAAGCAAAATGATTAAAAACTTTTAAAACATAGAAATGTCACCTGATATGGAGCGACAGCCGGAATTTCAGCCTTTATAAACCACTCAGTGTAAAATACAGCTGTGAAGAATGCCATATCATTTATTTCTTTCTTCTGAAAATCTGTCAAGCTAGAAATGTTGTTTAGAAGGAGATACATTTTCAGAAAGTATATTCCCTTTGCCATAAATCTGGCATGGTGTACAGGCCCAGTACAGGCCCAGCCTGTACTGTTCATCATCAGATAAAACCATTGTTGTCAATTCCACTAACTCTAGATAATCAGACCTACATCCATCCTAAATAAGATTATTTATTTAGACACAAAACAGTACCTTACTAAACTTATTTTATTATAGAGTATTCACTTTATTCAAAATTTTAAATACCTTTTTCATTGTTTTCATTCTGATAATATTTTGAGAAAAAGATAAGGCTTCTTTGAACTGTACCTGCAGCCAGCTATCAGAAATATCTTCAATTTTTACTTTGTTTAACACAATGGAATTTTGATCAATTGAGTTCCATACATCTTTAAGCTTCTTAAA